ACTGCACCTTCCATACCTCCTGTCTCCACCTCCAGCACAGTCTCCTTTCTATAGGAAGGCAACAGGGGCCAGGATCCCAGGGGATCCCTGTCCCACCATGAGCCATGGTCCCTGCCAACCTTCAGCTGACATGTCACCTCTCATGTTACTCATCTAGAGAGATGGGTTCCCACCCAAAGAGCAAATCTCCCCCCACAAAGGCTTTGCCGTCCACCATCCGTGCAGGAGGGACCCCAGCACGCGCCATGGCACGCACGGGTTAAGGTGGGGAGCTGCCAGCCCGTGGTGCTCCAGGACTGGATAAGGCAGGGACCTGGACCTGCTCCAGCTGTGTTTCCTTCCTTCAATTCAAAGCTTGCTCCAGGCACTTAACGGCCAGTTTCTTCCCGTTGCAATTCTCATTAGCTCACAAAGTGGCTAATTACAGGCCTGCAGCTGCCATTCCGAGCGCTGGTCACTCTGTGGCAGCAGCTCTGGGTAACACCCAGGCACGGAAGGGAGATGCCCCAGCATCGGCAGTGGTGCTGGGGCCTGGCCCGGGGGTTTTGTAGGGGGCAGCTGGCCCGAGACAGCCACTGTCCCGCTGAGCAGACTCAGAACTTCCTGTGGGGGCCGAGAGCTGGGGCACTGTTTGTATGGAATCAATGCAGGGATGAGACTGGTGGCAGGTACTGTACCCTGTGCCCAGGGACCCAGCACCTTGTACCTGAGGAGAGGCCATCCCATCACCCCTCCTGCCCACAACATCTCCATCACCACATTGACACTCTTGCCCCCAGCAGCCCCCGTCAACCTTCCCATTCCCACTGCCCCCACCATGCTGTGACCCCTCCTGTTCCCAGTGTAGCCACACATTTCTCCTGTTCCCAGCACACCGTCTATCCCATGACCCTTCCTGTTCCCATTGCCTCTGCTACGCCCCTGATACCTCCAACACCAACACCCCTCCTATCCCAAACATCTCCATCACCCCTCTAGTCTCCAGCACCCACCAGCAATCTCCCTGTCCCCCGTGTCCTGATCACACTGTCACCCCTGTCCCCACACCCCCCCGGAAGCGCCTGTCAGGGCTAAGCCGATTACCTCCCTTAATACCCCTATGGCCCAGAAGAGACTTTTCAGGCAAATGTCCCCAAAGCATCTTCCCTCCGTGCTGCGGGAAGAACCCGAGCACCCCTGGGAACTGGGGGGTCCTTGGGGTGGGGGCAAGGGCATCTCCAGAGCTGCCAGGGAAAATGCAGATCCAAAGGACCTGACCCTACACATGCCCCAGGATCCAGGACCATGGTCTCCCTGCCCCAAGCTCCAGCTCTCCCTGCACCAGCACCCACAGGGCATGGCTGAGATGCACATGCGTTTGTGGGTCCCCACTCAGCTGCAGTGAATGTGAGGAGGGACTTTCACCCTGTCTCTTCCATAAACTCTTCCTTGATGCTGATTCTGCAATTGAGATCACAGATATTAGGACTCTCTTTCCAGTCATTTGCCCTCCTCAGGTCTGTGGATGGAGCCCTGCGCAGGTCCCTGGCAGGGATACTGGCCTGCAGAGCCCCATGGGATGCCTGTGCCCCATGTCCCAGCTCCCCCACACCCAGTCCCCACTAGAAAGCTCCTTTCCCACGGAAAGGTGCCAGCTCAGAAAACGTAACCCCAGAGAACAAGGTGGGGACATTGTCTCCAAGAACAGAACTGCATGGAAAATTAAACTTGAGAGTGGCACACAGCTCACAGGGGAGCAGCACCCCAGCTGCAGTGGGGGGTAACACCTGGTCTGCACCGGCGTGGCAGAGGACACCGTGACACGCAGCCATGAGGGGCTCAAAGAGATGGAGTGGCTGAGTGGAACCATTGCCCACCACTGGCAACTGCTCCTGGGGGGACTTGGACAACTTTCCCTGTGCCTCAAGAGGAAGCTGGGGCTGCTTCCTGCAGACCGATCTGCAGGATGCTGGGGCGCTCAGAGACCACCCCTTGCTCACCCACTGGGTAGAGCCCCAGGGAGCTCGGCAGGGCAGCCAGGCCCTTGCAAGCACCACAGATGCAGCACCAGCCCTGCTGCCTCGCTCCCAACAGCTGTCCCAGCTTCAATGGTCAGCACAGGGGTCTGTGAAGCCACTGTGCCCCTCACACCTCCCCAGTGCAGCAGTGGCCAAGCACGCAAAGGAAAAGCCAAGAGGATGACAATCTCACCCACAGGCTGAGCCATGGGAACTTCCCAGGGGATGGCTCCTGCCTTGCCATGCCCAGCTGGGGACCTTGAGCAGTCCCTGCACCACCACAGAGCTGGGGCAGCTGGTATCAGCACCAGTATCCATGTTCCCACCTGCATCCCCGCAGAGCAGCACAAGAAGGAGCAGCAACGTGGAGTTGGCAGGTCACATGTGGCCAAATGGGTCCCTTGGGCTGGAATGAACCACTCAGGCTTTGCTGAGCAGCTTCTCTGGATGTTTGGGATGTGAAGTGCTGACTGTTGGAGTGGGGCTGGGAGGTTCAGGACTATTAAAAGAAGGGGTTCTAGCCCATCATCACATTTATAACATTTGTTAGAATTTATTATTATTATTAGAACATTTTTTTGTTCTAATATTAATAATAACAATAGATAAAACTTGTCAACACAATTACTTAAGAAGGGGGGAGCAGTCTGGCTCCCACTCATGTTCCAGGAAATGAAGCCAGGAAATGAGGCGAGGCCAGGGCCCTGCCCAAAGCCAGGTGCACTGGACAGGGACACGTGGGAGCAAAAAAACAGCTGAGGGTCAGCAAGCAAACCTAAACCACCCTATAGCACCTCCAGAGCACTGCTGCTCTTCCTCCACCTCGGATCAGGCCCACGGCAATGTCACCGTGCCATGTGCAGCTGCATCCTGGGAGACGGCATCTGCTGCAAGGGCTCTGGATCACAGTGCTGGACGAGGAAGAGGAGATGCCAACCTCCATCTGAAAAAGCTTTGATGAAGCCACAGAGGCAGGAGGACACAGGTATGATGGTCTAGGACTTTCTCCCCCACTCTCTCCCTGCCCTTCTGAAGCCGGCATCACCAGCACACCACAGGCGGGAGCTGCCCCTGGCCCTGCCACCTCCACCTCACAGCTGTCCCCAGAGAAAACCAAGCTCTGCCCCATCCACTCAGGAAGGGCAATTATAAAGTGGGAAGAAACAGCCAATGCTTCCTGTGCCCCACTGTGCTCAGTGGTGGGGGCAGGACAGTGACTCCTTTCCCTGTTCAGCATCCCAGGAATGTTTCCCTAGACATCTCTAGGAGAAACTGCCTGGAGCTCCCCACTGCCATATGCTGCACAACCTCAGCCTCCTGGCAATGGGCTGCTGCCATCAGGAACAGCTCAAAGATGAGATGCCCCAGCATCTCACGGAGCAAAGAGGTTGAGCTGAAAATCCTAACCCCACATGTGCTGAGAGTTTGCAACATCCCAGTGCTGGAGCAGGTTGCTGCTGCAGAGCCAGTCTCACCTCCAGCAGCATCTGCAAGGCTAGGAAGGGAGGGGAAGGGGAAACTACCTCCCTACACAGCCACTCCACCAGCCCCTTGAGGGACTGCACCCCAACAGCACTGCCAGTCCTGACGATCCCACACCAATCCCTTGAATTCGAGAGCAGCAGAGACTGTGCCAGATCACTGATGGCTGCATTGGAGCCACCCGGGTCTCCTTCCTGCGTCAGCAGTACCCCTGGCTGGGCCACCCCAGCCTTGGCTTATTGGAAGAGGGGGAGTGCAGGAGCATCCCCACCTCCACCTCCACCGCCCCAGCATGGAAGCATCCAGCTGTTTTGATCCACCGGCAGATTTAACAATTATTGCACCTTCCCGCTGTCCCTCAGAGCGTGGCGAGGCAGCCTGGGCCCCGGCTGACAGCAGGCTGCCTGCCCAGCATCTGCCCCGCCGGGAGCCAGCTCAGGGAAACAATATCGGATCCGCAAACAATGCTGGGAGCCAGGAGGCCCTTCCCAGCTCCTGCGCCAGCGAGGCAGAAAGCACCTGCCCGAAGACAGGCCGTACCATAGGCTGGGACACCGCGCCTCCCCGGTGTGGGCAGCCCCAGCCTTCCTCGCAGGCAGCAGCGCTCAGGGCCGGTTAGGGTTTTCAGGGTGGTGTTCATGCCCATCGCAGCCCTGCACACCCCAGCAGTGGGCACAGAGCGAGGGGACACGGAGCACGCCCAGTGCCAGCCCCCCCGGGAGGGGAAATGCCCTAACTCAGACCCCGAAACTCAAACAAATCAAACCTGAACGCCCCAAAACAATGCTTCAGCAGACAAGCAGGGTGGTGCTGTGGGGAGGGAGCGAAGTCCACCCATTCCTTCTGCCCCAGCAGAGAGCAGAAATGTCACCGTCACCAGAGCAGCCCCGCGGGCCGATGCTGCAGCCGCTCCCAGGGCGATGGGGCAGGTGGGCAATCAGGGCTCCCTCCCGAGAAGCCCTCCCGGCAGCTCCCCTGGATGGCTCGCCCACAGCAGCACCTTTATTTGGTTTTTCCTTTGTTTTGATAGGTTTTTTGTGTTTTTTAGTATTTTTTCCTGCCAATAAAGGTGCTTCCTGTGGGCCGCTCCCATGACTCCATGCTGCCTCCCCACTCCAGGATCCGTATCTGTGGTTCCTTCCTGGCCCCCGCCAACATCTGTGGGTCCCTCCAGCCCCCCCAAACAGTTGCTGGGGACCAGCCCTGCGCCAGTGCCAGCCGCTGCCAGGCCCCCCCTTAAGCAGTGGGCAGGAGGGTGACGGTGCGGCGCTGCCTGTCCCCGGGGAGCGCTGAGGGGTGTGAGAAACCCCAGTGGGGCTACGTGGGGGGGCATTTCCTACCTTGCTTTCTCCTAGGAACATGAGCACCCAAAGATGCTGATCCGTCGTGGGAGAGGAGATGATGGGGGAGGAAGGGGGGGGGGAACCGCACCGGGGTTCGTCGTAGGAGGGAACACGAGCATCCGCGGGGGCAGCGAGAGGACACGGACGCAGGTTGGCGGGGGAACGGAGAGGCACTCACCGGCACGGACGAGGCGCAGAGGGCAGGAGCCGAGGGCGGCGAGCAGCAACAGCAGCAGCGCTCCGCGGCGGGCGGCAGCGCCCCGGGCCGCCACCATCGTCCACGGGCACGGCGGGCGCGGGGACGCGCTGCGGGAGGGGGCGGGGCCGGCGGGGAGGGGCTCCGCCCCGTACGGGCCACGCCCCTCCGGAAAGCCCCGCCCTCTCCCGCTGCTCGGCGGGTGGAGCGCTCCGGCATCGCTGACCCCCATGGGACACCTGAGAACCCCTTCCAGGGCCTGAAGCGGCTCCAGGAGAGCTGGAGAGAGACTGGGGACAAGGGATGGAGGGACAGGACAAGGGGGAATGGCTTCCCACTGCCAGAGGGCAGGGATAGATGGGATATTGGAAAGCAACTCTTGGCCGTGAGGGTGGTGATGCCCTGGCACAGGTTGCCCGGAGAACTTGTGGCTGCCCCATCCCTGGAAGTGTTCAAGGCCAGGTTGGATGAGGATCTGAGCAGCCTGGTCTAGTGGACAGTGTCCCTGCCCATGACAGGGGAGTTGGACTACATGGCCTTGAAAGGTCCCTTCCAACCCAAAGCAGTCTGTGATTCTATGCTGGGGATGAGGGGCTGGGAAATCCCACCTGTGGATTATGTTGCTGCTGCGGTAATGCTCGGGCTGGTGGCAGGAGGTGTCATATCCCTGCCTACTCCACAGCTATAGCACCCAGGTGTGAGTGCTGAGTTTGTCAGACCTCAGCTGCAGCCACTGGCCTTGGTTAGAGTCGTGTATGACCAAACCACCCCTTCCCTTCCCAGTTAGAGGAACATCCCTGGGTCACTACAGATGAGTTCCCTTGCAAAACCTCTTCCCGTATCCTGAATTAATTTCACATCTGTAGGGTTTGTTTCTCAACCCCTCCCTTCAGACCATGAATGTCCCATCTGGCTGCAGGACAGTGGGGGCTTGGTGGAGATGTGCCCTTGCAGCTGCCAGCCCCATGGACACTGCAGTCATGCCAACAGCCATGTCCAGCAGGGATACCAGGTTGTCATCCCCAGTGTCTCTATGTACTGCTGCTCCCAGGTCTTCCCCCCTGGAGTTAGGGAATGCCAAGGCAGACAGTTCTGCAAAATCCCAGCATCTGATCTCTGGCCCCATGCTCCAGGCACAGTCCTGAGGCCTTGGCACAAACACAATGACATGATGCTGGATGGGACCTTCTGTGCGGGATCCCGCTGACTGACATGTGCTGCCTGATTCTCCGAGGAGGGATTCCCACAGCCAGGGCTGTGCCAGGGGGCTGGGCTCAGCCCCAGCCGACACGCTCACAGCAGGAGCTCTGTGACGGCAGCAGCGGTGCCCTGGCAGGCTGTCAGCCCAGTCCGAGCCTGTCCAAGGAATGCTGAGAGTGAGGAGCCGGAGTGCGGCGTGCCAGGGACACCACGCTCAGCTCTGGAAGGAATTGCCACCATGGCTGAGCAGGAAGGTGCTGGCAGAGATGGGTGACAGCATGGCATGGAGCCAGCTGTGTCATCTGCAGCAGAATAGTTATCTCTTAAATTTTGTTTATTCCTTAATTTCCTTGGCCCTTTGCTCCTGTTCCTCCCTTCTCCCCCTCCCCCTTCCTGCCCCAGGGATGGAGTTGAGAACTGTTTGGAGACACAAAATTACAGATTGAGATAAGAAAAATTACAGATTGAGATAAGAATTTACTGGAAACAGTAATGAGATGATAAACTGAACAACAACAATATTAATAACCAAAGTGTACAAATAAAGAAGAGTGATTTACATGCAAAAGGCTCACAGAGCCTGACCCAATGTGATGCGCTGTGACCACAGCTGGCAGCACCCCGCCTTGACTGCTCTATCACACTTGCTCCTGACTGGAAACCATGCCCCTTCTTCTCAGTGAGATAATCCCTTTCCCCACCCTGGCCATAATGTAAAATGGTATAGAATGTCTTGGCTATGCCCCCTCCCACTGGTTTGGGCTGGAACCAGGACACGCACATTTTCTTTGTTCCCTAAATTTGCTGGAGCTCTGTGTTCATTAATTGCTTCTCAATTTTAACACTTACCCCTGGGAGCAGCAATCCCACCAGGTGATGGTACCAGAAGAACTGGGGCGCCTATGCCAGGACCAGCAACTGTATCTTCTACCTGCTACCCTTTGCCCTGCAAGCGTGTGGGGTTAGAGGGATGGATACTGGGCCAAACCAAAGAGTTACTGGGACAAACTGGTCCCATTCTGAAGAAGTCGAACTCTTCTTTTGCCCTGCATTGGCCCTGTCACCAAGTGATGGAGGGGCCAACCTCATCCGATGGGCCAAGTCCTTGCTCGGTCCTGTCCCCATGTGCCACCATACCCAGCACCTCCAGCTGCTCCCAGGGGAATGGTGCTCCCGGCAGTGAGTGCCCTGGTGCAGCGCTGAGGTGCCATTGCATGGCACTTCGGGGCATGGTCTGGCTGGACCCCTCACCCTGGGGCTGGGGGACATCCCCGGGTGCCACAGCCAGCCTGGCCTGTGCGCTCTCCACGGGGTGGTTGGTGCTCCTGCTGCACTGCAGGCTCCAGAGCCCCAGAGCTGCTGGGGGATCCCCCTCAGGGTTGGGGCAGGGGCTGGCCCTGGTGGGGGTGAAGACCACGGAGACCACCTCTGCTGATCTGAGCCTCAGGTCCCCAGTGTGGCTGTGGCCAGGAGCAGCTATAAACTCCCTATGGGACATGGCTGGGACCAGCAATGGGGCTGCAGAGGCAAAGCAAGCCAGCTGAGCACTGGCCTGGAGTGTGGGGACCCCAAGAAGGGGCATCTGGGAGAGCTGTCAGTGGGGGAGGCAGGAGAGAATGGGGCTGCAGCCACATCCCCATCTACATGTCAAGCCTGCAGCCAGCTGGCCAGGGAAAGGGCAGTGGGAAGTAACTGGGAGGCCACTGGTGTGTCCATGGGACTCTGAGTCCTGGTGAGGTGGGTAGGAGACCCCACCCCCATGCTGCCTCCATGGACAGGTGATGTATGAGAGCCCGAGTCACCTCTGTGAGGACCTCAGCACTCCCCAGCACTGCCCCCAGCCAAGGGGCAGGGTCAGCATTTCTTCATCTGGGAGCAAGAGGTAGGTTGGGAGTGGGGGAGCCCCGATCACAGTGGGGCTGGGGCTGAGTTGGATCCTCCAGCACTGACCCATCAGGAACAAGCAGGACTGGCAGCGAAGTGGGAGCCAGAGAGGGACTCACTGAAGCCATGCTGTCACCACCTTCAAGGTTTGCAAGATCCCACTGGATGAAAGCCTGGGAAACCTGGGGCTTATTGTGGTGAAGGGCTGAACTACAGACCTCCAGAGGTATCCTCCAGCCTGAGTTATCCTGGGATGCCTTGGCCCCATTCCCCCTCTCTGGAGCAATTCCTGTGGCTTGCCACAAGCCCAGCCCAAGCTCCCAACAGACTGTCTCTTGCAGACGGCTGTTAGTTCCCAACTTTCCAAAATGCAGCTAAGGCCACATGTCTTCCTAATGCTGAGTTTCAGATCTTAAAATTTCCTTGGTGAATGGAAAAAAATTAAGAAGTGTCTTTTCTGGCCATTATCCAGTGCTTGGCCCCTCCTCATAGTGGTGCTTGGGGCTGCTTTTGGGACATTGTGCCAGGAGTTCCCTGTGCCCACAGCTCATTGGACTTGTGCTCCAGACCTTTCCCCAGCTCCACTGTCCATCTCTGGACACACTCCAGCACCTCAGTGTCTTTCTGGCAGTGATGAGGAGTACAGAGGAGGTTCTGCTTCACTTCAGTTTCACTCCAGTTTATCTGCCTGCAGGGACAGCAACTGCAAGCAGTTCAGGCTGCAGCCTGAGCAAATGTCCCTAAACCTCCTCTTCCCATGGGGGTGGCACTGGAGCACGGAGCACTTTGGTCACGCATGCAGACCTGCCAGAGCACCCATCATCCCAAACACCCCAGAACAGCTGTCTGGAAGCTCTCATCCTGCTGGCAGGGGCTTGCTGGAGGGTCTGCCTCCCCCACCCCTCATCTCCCTGCCATCACTGCAGGTACTGAGGACGGTGCTGAGGCTGGCGTGGTCCATATTGACCATATTGGCTGGTGAGGTCTTTTCCTTCAGAAGAAAATGGTGGGATGGGATGAGCTCGAGGAGTCCTCCAGGATGCAGCTGAACTTCCCCATGTTGGGCCTCCTCATTCTCAGGCAGCTCATGGAGCCTCAGGCTCTGAACAGCATGTTCATTCTCACTATGTCCTGCCTGTGTGGGCCTCACCCTGCACCTCTCCTCTGTACCCCTTCAGCCAAACCCCCTCACCCTACACACCCTACACACCCCCTTCTTTTACACTCCCCATACCCAGTATCCGCTCCATGCCCCAATGCCCCCCACACCCATGTACCCACCACCTCTCTGCTGTCCCCTTTTCACATCTCTCAGCCCCCTGCACCACCCTGTGCCCTCCACTCCTCCTGTGCACCCCTGGCCCACCCTCACTGAGTCCTTGATGTGGGTGCTGCTCCCAACCTGCCTGTCCTGCTGCCATGTCATCCTCTCTGCCTCCCTGCCAGCCCCTGGAGCCAGGCTCACCTCCTGTCCCCCCTGCCTCCACGCTGGCGTGACATGGGATCTCCTCTCACACCAGCCTTGCCCCCAGGACCACTTGTGCTTCTCCCTTGGCTGCAGGACACAGTCACTTCCAGCACCCCTGGCAGACATGTCTCCCTTTATTCATAAGTTATATACATGTAGATTATAAAACATACACATGAATAGACATTTTAAAATGACAAGACAAAGATTAAATAAACACTGATTTAAAATTATTATTTTATTTTATTTCTTAATGGTAGCAAATATACTTTCTTCCTGCATCCTGATGGGTTGTTCTTTGTACCCACAGGGTGCATGCACTTCTCTTTGGAGACCGCTACTCTGGAGAAAGTGGGGGTCTCCCCTGACTCATAAGTCTGATAGCGGGGATTTATGGTTCTTTTATCCCTGATGATGCTGCTGGTCCTTTCAGCAAGCTCCACTGGTCCATACTGTGGTGTGGTCTTGCCCATCAGTGTCTCAAGTAACTGAAGGCTAAGCACAGACTCGTGGTGCCCAACCCTTCCCTGCCACATCCTCTCTTGCTGCTCATAACCTCCAGAGG